GAACGCTTCTCAAAGGGGGCTGAAGCAAAAGAAGTTTCAGGGTTAGCCAAAATCCCACTCCAGAAGCAGGTAATTGATGTTTTTGAATAACGTGTATCCACTTTTCAATTTAAGAACACAGCAAAGAGGTTAAATTGGATTGCAGATAACCTGAGCTTTCTCTCCTTGGAAATGTTAATTTTTCTGTGCTTGTTTTTTAGTAAATTACAGGATGCAAAATTTTCTGTTTTGCTTTGGAAGGGGTGTGCAGCGTGTCTGCAACGCTATCTGCATAACTGATTAATCCTCGGCTTGCCTGTAAGGACAGCTCAACATACTCCTGTGCCCTAAATACCAAAAGTCTGAGCCATTATTGCTCAGGAGCCCTTTCATTGACCCAGCACTAACCCCTGGAGGGTAAAACTTTGCTCCCCACCCTCAGCTCCCCCACAGCTTCTCCAACTGGGTCCTAGTGAGTCGGTGCTCTTAACTAAGGCAGACCGCATTCACTTTTCAGAGCGTTAATTCCCATAAAATGGAATGTCACTTTTACAGGGAAGGCTCTCCTTTATCAGCAAAAACTGATTCCATTTGTCTGATTAATTGTCCTCAGACACTGTCAAAGGCTGCCAGACTCAGGGTGACGGCTTAGGAAGAGGTGGCCATGCAGTGTTGCGAGGTGGGGCACCCCTGGGCTGGGGAAGCAGGAAGGTTACAAATGCACAAATAATTAATTCAAATCAATACAGTGAGGGGTTCAGGCTGAGAGACATTCAATTATGTTATTCAAAGAGAAGATGCTGATCTTCAGCTTGTCCGTTCCATGCTGCAAATAATAGAGTATTTTTAATTTGTGCAGCCAGGATGTTAATCTTTCGCCGTGTACTCCAGTCCTCGGGAACGCCATAAATATGTGGCACTGTGTGTGTGAGGCTCCCCATGGAGGGCACTCAATCAACCCAGCCCTGGCTTTCCTGCCTGACTCTCTATGTCAATCTCTCAACACTCAATTAGGAAATATATGATAGGCTAATAGATGGTGGATGGATGGATGGATGGATGGATGGATGGGTGGATGGATTCGTGAATGGATATAGAGGCAGAGACAGAAATAGAAATTGTCAAAGATTGTCAGATACCCCTCCCTGAACCATAAACAGTTTATGGCTTCTGGATTTTGCCTGAGCCAGTAGCATAAATAAATTCCAGGGGAATTATTCACATCTCAAAAGGATTCACTTTAGAATTCCTTCAAATAGCAAGCTCCTGTAGCATGTTTAAAATAGGATTTGAATCCCAGTTTTATTATACAGAGAGAGAGAGAGAAACACACACATAAATGAGGATTTGGAAGGTTATCCACTAAGTTGTTAAAGGTTTACGCCTCCATGTGGGTAGGATTGTGTGTGCTTTTGTGCTTGACTGTGATGGCCGACTTACCTGTGATGAACATTTATTCCTTCAGTAATAAGATAAAAGCAATAAAATATTTTTAATTAAAGAAAAAGCCATTTCACAAAAATGTAAGATTCAATTAATGAAGATGTAACTTCCCACCTGTTATCAGCATGTGTACTCTATCAAAGAAGGCACTCCAGGAACTTGATTTTTTTTTTTTTTTTCCTTCCTGGTGGCTGACTGTGGAGACACCCAGCAGACCACTTACTAGGGATCTTGAGATGCATCTGGGTGGTTGATCTCCTGCCACACCCCACCACCCCAAAAAGTGGCATAAAGGGGTTGGATCTGTTTGGCCCAAGTGCCAGAGACATGGCAACCAGGAATGGGAAAAGAAGAGACTGGGATCATCGTGTGTCATAAGGCCATGGACCCAAGAGGTTCGGCAGAGCCTAGGCGTTAACAACACGTATGCGCTCAACAAACACACATTGGTTGTTACTCCGTGAATACCCTGTATAGGAGAAAGAGATGACTATGGCAGGATCATCTCTGAAAAGGAGCTGGTGGCCCAGCAGGATGAATAAATACATCCACAGTGAACCGGATACGCAAAGTAATAGAAGTGGAAAGTGGAAAGAACCCTCCAGCAAAAACCAAAGCAGTTGCCGTCAAGTCGATTCCAGCTCATGACCGCTGCGTGTGTGTCAGAGTGGAGTTGTGCTCCGATGGCTAAAATCTTTTGAAAGACAATCACCAGGCCAGGCTTTCTTTCGAGGCACCTCTGGATAGATTCAAACAGACAACTTCTGGTTAGTAGCCAAGAGCTTAACTGTCTGCATCACCCAGGGACTCCTAGAAAGGGACCCAGGGGGCAGGAATGATTACTTGTCACAGGAAGGGGACGGGTTACAGGGGCTCGTCAAACACATGGAGTTGAATTGAAGCAGCATTCCAATTGTTCTTCAGAGCCCTGATGCTTGGAGTCTTATTAGACACAGGCTTGGCTGGACTTCCTGCCAGCTTGAGTGCTGTCCTCTGGACAAAAGCCGGTACTTTTTCACGAGCAGCCATCACCAGAAGTGGCAGCCTTATTGCATCTCTTTCCAAGGTATGGAGAGATGTGGAAACAAGAACCATCAAGTCGGGGTGTCTGAGCACAAAACAGCCCGTGTGGGAGTCTCGGAGCCCGCTAAGAACACGGATCAATCTTTGGACAAGGGGCTGTGTGTGACACACGGCATATGTGTAACGTTGCATCAGCCACAGAGAGCAGCGCGTCCTGAGCCGTTCCAGGCCGGCAGTGCCGGGGAGAGACGGTGCTGGCCGTGTGAACCACAGGCCACCTGTCAGGATGGACGCAGAGGTGTGGGGTAAACCAGGCATGCCGCACATCAAAAATAACACGGAAAACCCCAAGTCAGATAAAACTAAAGAAACGTCAGCCATCACCCCTGCCAGCGCCGGGCTGTTGAACGCACCGAGAGGCACGCCCCAGGACTACCAAAACGGCCGCGCGGAGGTTTTGCAAATCAATAGGCAAACCCAGGTCTGACAGATGCATTTGCTGACCATGTAGAAAATTAAAATCAGTCAAATAAATGAGAAATTTGCCACCTCCCCCCTAAATTTTATGAGACAGGGAGTAAGAAAATGATCTATCAAGCAGGAAATATTTCAGCAATTGGTTTTGGTTTATTAAAGAGATGTATAGGATTTGGTAGGCTACTGTGTATACTGTCTACAAAATAGAAATCACACGAAGAAGCCACAAAACCAGGCAGAAAGGTAAGAGAGTCTGTCTTTGCTTGTTACGATAAACAAAGTTCCCAGTTTTCCGATTTCTACCATCAGTAAAGACAAGAAGGGGGATTTAGACAATTACATGCAAATGACTCTTGTGATCATTCTTTGGCATGAGCACCAACTACGCTCCCACCTCTGAATCCCTCAGGCACCAAGATGTGAGCTGTAGGTGTGTTGTGACAACAGCATGTACTTTGTGTGCCATGTCCTGCTTCCAGAATGCTGACCGAGGCCCTACCTCAAGCCCAGGCTTCCTCTTAGGCCCAAAGCCTGTTTGGCTCAAGAGCAGGGACAGCTGGAGCATGTTGGGGAGGGGGTGCCAGCCCTGGAGGATCCCCTGGTTAAATGTCCCCATCTCCTGTCCTCATGTGGATCCTTCTGGAAGGCGTTCTGCCTGCTCCTCCGTGTACAGCGGAGCTCCCACTGCTTACAGCAGTGACCCAGGTTGGTGTTGCCTCCTTCCCAGCTCAGTCCCTCTGTTCCCTGCCTCCTGCTTTCTGGAATCACCCCCAAATAAATTACCTTCACCCAAGCCCTTGCCTCAGGCTCTGATTTTGGAAGGACCCAAACTAGTCCACAGACCTTTGCATTTTTTAGCCGTCTATCATCCATCCTTCTTTCAAAACGGCATTATCTGGGCGTTTCCTTGGGGAATTACCATGCTGTCAGTGTGTGAAGATTTGTGGGAGGTGGATCTCTCTCCCATGACAGCCAAAGTGACCAGATCACCCTCTTCCCCACCCCTGGACAGCTTTGGGGACAAGCATTGACCAGGCCTGAGCCACCTGGCCCCCCTGGAGAGAGGGACCCCAGGGTGACAGGAACATCTCATGGCCATAGCCCAGTAACAGTGGTTCGTGTTTACTGGACTGTTCTGGCTGCACGACCCTGGCTGTGGCTTCTGCTACCTGGCCTGCCCAGCTCCCTCGGTGCCCCCTGCCTCCCATGAGCCCCTGACATCACCCCTTCGAGAGGTTCTCTTCGACTGAAGATAGCCAAGGTCA